ATTTTGCTTACAATTAATCGTTGAGAAGACAAATCTTATCTTTAAATGCGTACAATATAACGAGTTTAACCCCTTTTCTATAAGTTTGCCATAGTATCTTAATTATAATTAATAGTTGAATTAAATTACAATATTACTACTAAACAGCGTACAATCGTTTTCATGATGGCAGGATAGGTTTTAACTTTGCAATTTCTAGTCGATAAACAAAACACATTGTATAGTGTGTATGTACAAGGTCATTTGCTCTAAAAAAATTAAACTTGTTGTTTGTGGCTTCTCCTACAAGTCTTAGTAAGAATTTTTAAAAGCAGGAACAATACTTATTTTCGACGGTACACTTTGGACATAGTCTGGTTTACAAGTGCTCAATAATATAAGATCAAGTGTGATGATGAACATTTCCAGTTACTAGATCGTTTGTAAACAAATATCATCTGATATAAATTTTACTAATAAATGATTCAGACATTATCACTTCGAAATTTCTGATTACCGGTACTGTATCTTTTTTTGTGCTTTACATGAAATAAAGTATACGAAAAATCCTTGGTAACCTCATAATAACAAAATTAACTGACCTAGAAAAACATTTAACATCAATATGATCATATATAGGAGTCTTTGCCATGAAAATATTATTAGCTTAAGAATATTGCATGAGATTAACTTGACAACACTATTAAATATTTTTAAGGATGTTTACTACAATTTGACGCCTGTCATTAAATAGAAACTGACAACTGAGTAACAAGCAACATCCAATGTGATATATAAGTAAGGCAAATAAACATGTAACGATCAAGCTTAGCAATGTTTCAGTAACTGCGATACATTTGATCTCTACTTTATTCATCACTAAGAATAACATAGCTGAAGTAAATAAATTTATAGCAATTAAAAGGGTTAAATTGATTTTCCTTAAAAACTTCTGGCCACTTCTTATGTCATCGCTGGATATAATTATTAAAAGTGGCCAAATTTATAACTCATACTGAAATAACTTGTAGATGTATCGGTTAATTATTCTATATAAGGATAAATTAACAATACTCATAAGAAACATATCATATCCAGCACGGTAACTAAATTACAGTCAAAGCATAAAAATATTTACTAGATAATTAATTAATTGTTGATTTTGCTATAATATTGATCCGGTACCATAATTAAATGTTTATGCCATTCGAAGATAATTTAGTTTAATACCATTAAGCCACTACTGTAAGAAAATTCCGTCAAATTTACTCATGGATCCATCTATTTAATTTATGGTACCTTGATATCGTCTAGTATCTGCGAAGTATCTTGTAAAATTATATAGGCAATAAGACTTCTCAAAAGTATTTTTATAATTATTTAGAAACTATACTTGTTATTTTATTTCCTTATCGCTACTACGCATTCCAACAAGAACTTTCACGTCCATAATCTTTCTATAGCTTTATCTTGAAAATTCTCACGTAACTATATCTAACAAAGAAAAAAGGCTCTTTATGATAATGAGTAGAAATTTCAGATGATATATTAGTTATTTATCATTATTTACTCTGCCGATCATTATGTTGTCTTTGAAATTGTAGTACAATATGCTAAGCAAGCAATTCTTTAAATTATGATGTACTGTAGTCATTCTAGTCAGCAGCTAGATCAAATCTTTGCATAAATTCAGAAAAAAATACGCAAAAATAGCAGACCTAGCTATATAATTATCAACAGTTAAGTAAAGCGCATAGACATAATGAATCCAGTAAGCTAAAGATAATAAAGTTTTGGGTCAATTTACGAGTTTGAAATAATATTTACTGCCGGTTTATTCGCTTCAAATTCCGATTTAGAATAATAATGTCAATAATTAAATTTTTATGTCTTTTCCAGAACACTATTGCAGTTATATTCGACCGCGTAAAGTAGTTAACAATTATGTTAAAAACTAAAGTAGCTAAGTCAAATTATAAAGACAACCATTTCTTATCTCAATTTCAATTGCCTTTGATCCGTACAATACATATTAATATTTTAACCTTATCAGTAGTTACTTCAAACAGCGCATCAATAATTATATAATTAGTATGAGTTACAATTATTTTCAATACAACTAATATGCAAGACATGCATCTTTATTATGAGTAGAATACGTTAGTAATAAAAAATATAGCATAATATTATGACACGACCACCAAATAAATTTACAAATTTCATTTCACGTAATCAATTTCAAAAGCGAAAGTCATTAGTTCAGAGGCAAAAAGGACTTCATTTATCTGATAATATTTTTATGATAATTTTATATCGCAAATTGGTGCATTTCCTGTATTAATCAAATGATTATCGAATGTAAGAACAAGAAAGTATTGTTAAGAAATGGAATTTAAGAAGCAGCTAGGATTCATTTCCCAAAACACCCATT